GGCTACCATGAACAGTAATACCACGACGCTCTTAAAACGGCTGTGGGTATACCATGTTAGTGATGTTACCGGATCGCTGCTAGATGCCGTCTTGGGCTACGTATATCCAGTTGGTACCATCTCAGTAGTTCGACGTATGCGAGCCACTGTTCGATAAATGGATTAATGGTAAAAAGTTCTGTGAAAAACCCAGTAATTTTTCGTCATTTTGCCAAAACTTTCTTTTATTTACTTTGAAACAACTTCAAAATAACACTCATTTTTTTGCAATGACTGAGGTGTGAGTAAAACATCTGGAAGAGTATTGAGGGACAAGTGAAATGCATGCATGTATGTTGAGGGATAAAAACCAACTCCTAGGCCGGCCGCAAATATCCCAGACAGTTTTTCGGCCATTTTGTTCGAGAAAATAAGTATGCATCTGGCCAACACCTTTCACTTGGATTACACCACGATCGCTGAACTCTAGATAACTATTGGTTTGCAAAGCTGCTCTAAAATACAATTTCTTCAATAAAAACTTGTATTTACACAAGAATAAGCAAATTCGACTGAATTACCATCAATAATCATTTGCTGCAGCATTTTTGGTGACACATGGTAGCCAGAATTTGGATCTAAGATCATAGATCAGAAGCTGAAACCGATGGAAGAATAATACGCATTTTCTGTTACTGAATTAAATACCAAAATTTTAAACGCATTCCTCACTTAGCTTTTGAGTCTTAAAATGATTTCGGGTTCATGGCATTCTGAAAATTGAGTAATCAAACTTTTAGCTTCACAAGCAGGCATTTGGTGCCTGATCAAACGAAAAACTTCCTCCGTATTCGTGCTATGTGAGAAGCGGAGACATTCGGAACTAGCTTGCATGGTGATGTGTCAACAGCAACTACCCATTAGCAAGGCTCTCTTTCTCGAACTTAATGGCAAGCTTAACTCTCTGGCATGCGTCAGTACAAATTTGCCATCGAAACGAATGAATGAATAGAGGGTCTTTGGCTTCTGCATGACAGCACTTTGCTATGTCAGCAAATAGGTTGCCATTGGGAATTTCGGCACTTATTTTGTAGAAAATGTAATGTAAAAAACGAACTTTCTGGCGCTTTCACTGACATGTGTTCTAGACGGTATCCCGTGTGATTCCATTTTGTTCGCCACTGAAACAGTATCACCAAACATGCAATACCTGTAAGTATTAAAGCCTTTTAAATGGGATACAGTTTTGTGCTTGGAAGCGATCCAGATTATTCTTCTACAAAAAGGACCAGCAACATAGTGGGTTTTTTTTAAAAAAGAAAAGGCTGGAAAGTTTTGTGAAATTTTTGTACAAAAGTAAATATTAATCATTTTGCAGTCTTTTTCTATATACTTTCCCATCTGTTAACATTTTTAGAAACCTCCTGTAATTTTAAAATGTTAAATGCGACTCAGCTAAAAGAAAAATTTAAGATCCATATTCTGTTAAAGAGAGAGATTGAAAACAGAGAAGAATGAAGTTGCAAGGCGCATCAGTAGCAAGAAGAAACGCGATGATGAAACAACTGATCAAACACAATATCCCCTTTCTTTTGATCGCTGTGTATCCAATAAGTATTTTTCAAAGTAAATTATAGTGAATTTTTCGAGACAAACTACGAATTTTACAACAGCACTAACCGAGGCATTTTTATTCCAACGACGCCGGCAACAACTGGACCCATGTGAACGCCTAGACGAATACGGAGTGGCGTGTTCGTACGTGGGCGCGTCACTGACTTCGTCTCCATTTGCATACCGATTGCCATATTCATAACACGTTCCGCATGATCAGCACAACTAGTGGGTACACCACCAGCAACCATATACGCATCACCGATTGTCTCCACCTTGTAGACATCGTGCTGGAAATTAAAGAATTTATTAAAAATGACGCACTGGGAAGTAGCACTTTGTTGCGTGGTTGACCGAGAATTTGATTCCGTCGGTGGACGATAACATATATCATTATTAATAACTTTGTTTCGAAAGAGGGAACCATCGACAACCTTGCCAATGAGTGATTGCTACTGGTATTTGCTATTACAGGAGCTACTTCTGAGTGGCTCCACTTTTTGTAGGGAATAAATACGGAGGAGGTTTTGACTTTTGACTCGTTAAAAATTTTTCTTAAGTTTGAAAAATTAATTGAGCAAGTGGCGCCAGAGTGTTGGCTATATTATTGTTTAAAGTTATAAGAAGATGAAAATTACAATTTTAGCAATCCGGTCATATCGAGTGAACAAATCGTTCAGCATATTCACAACATCATAAGGTGTGCATGCAGCACTAATATTTGTGAATGTGACAATATCGGAAAAAAGTAACGTCGCCTCTGGATATTCACCTGGAAACATCATTCCGATCAGGATTTCGC